TTTTTTTATTTCCTCTTTGGTTTCATCAGTGATCCATTGGTTGTTTAGTAACATATTGTTTAGCCTCCATGTGTTTGCTTTTTTTTACTGTTTTTTTCTTGTAGTTGATTTCTAATCTCATAGCATTGTGATCAGAAAAGATGTTTGATATTATTTCAATTTTCTTAAATTTACTAAGCCTTGCTTTATGGGCCAGCATGTGATCTATCTTGGAGAATGTTCTGTGTGCACTTAAGTAGAATGTGTATCCTGCTGCTTTTGGATGGAATGTTCTGTAAATATCAATTAAGTCCATGTTATCTAATGTGTCATTTAAGGCCTGTCTTTCCTTATTGATTTTCTTTCTGGATGATCTGTCCATTGATGTAAGTGGGGTGTTAAAGTCCCCTACTATTATTGTGTTACTGTCAGTTTCTCCTTTTATGGCTGTTAGCATTTGCCTTATATGTTGAGGTCCTCCTATGTTGGGTGCATATACATTTACAGTTATATCTTCTTGGATTGATCCCTTGATCATTATGTAACCTCCTTCTTTGTCTGTTGTAACAGCCTTTATTTTAAAGTCTATTTTGTCTGACATGAGTATTGCTACTCCAGCTTTCTTTTGATTTCCATTTGCATGGAATACCATTTTCCATCCCCTCACTTTGTCTCTCTGTGTCCCTATATCTGAAGTGAGTCTTGTAGACAGCATATATATGGGTCTTGTTTTTGTATCCATTCAGCCAGTCTGTGTCTTTTGGTTAGAGCATTTAATCCATTTACATTTAAGGTAATCATCAATATGTATGTTCTTATTGCCATTTTGATAATTGTTTGGGATTTGTTTTTGTGGGTCTTTTTTCTTCCCTTCCTCTTTTGTTCTCTTCTCTTGTGATTTGATGACTATCTTTAGTGTTGTGTTTGGATTGCTTTCTTTTGTGTGTGTATCTATTGTAGATTTTTGGTTTGCGGTTACCATGGTTTTGGTATAGCAGTCTATATATATGCATGATTGTTTTAGGTTGCTGATCTCTTAATTTCAAATGTGTTTCAAATATCCTGCATTTGTATTCTCCTCCTCTCACAATTACTGGTTTAAGTATCATATTTGTGTGTGAATGATTTCCTACCTTAACTGTATGTTTCCCTTTACTGGTGAGCTTTTCTGTTCATAATTTTCTTGTTTCTAGTTGTGGCCTTTTCTTTTCCATCTAGAGAAGTTCCTTTAGCATTTGTTGTAAAGCTGGTCTGGTGGTGCTGAATTCTCTTAGCTTTTGCTTGTCTGTAAAGCTTTTGATTTCTCCCTAGAATCTGAATGGGAGCCTTGCTGGGTAGAGTATTCTTGGTTGTAGGTTTTCCCCTTTCATCACTTTCAATATATCGTGCCACTCCCTTCTGGCCTGCAGAGTTTCTGCTGAAAAATCAGCTGATAACCTTATGGGGATTCCCTTGTATGTTATTTGTTGCCTTTTCTCTTGTTGCTTTTAATATTTTCTCTTCATCTTTAATTTTTGTCAATTGGAATAGTATGTATCTTGGCATGTTCCTCCTTGGGTTTATTCCCTATGGGATTCTCTGCGCATCCTGGACTTGAGTGTTTCCTTTCCCATGTTAAGGAAGTTTTCAACTATTATGTTTTCAAATATTCTCTCAGGCCTTTTCTCTCTCTCTTCTCCTTCAGGGATCCCTATAATGTGAATGTTGGTGCATTTAATGTTGTCCCAGAGGTCTCTCAGACTGTCCTCATTTCTTTTCATTCTCTTTTTTCTTTATTCTGTTCTGCAGCAGTGATTTCCACCATCTGTCTTCCAGCTCACTTATTTGTTCTTCTGCCTCATTTATTCTGCTATTGATTCCCTCTACTGTATTTTTCATTTCAGTTCTTATATTGTTCATCTCTGTTCTTTAAATCTTCTAACTCTTTGTTAAACATTTCATGTATCTTCTCAATCTTTGCCTCCATTCTTTTTCCGAGATCTTGGATCACCTCTACTATCATTACTCTGAATTTTTTTTCAGGCAGATTGCCTATTTCCACTTCACTTAGTTGTCCTTCTGGAGTTTTATCTTGTTCCTTCGTCTGGGATATATTCCTCTGCCATCTTGTTTTGTCTAACTTTCTGTGTTTGTGGCCTCCATTCCTCAGGCTGCAGAATTGTAGCTTCTCTTGCTTCTGGTGTCTGCCCCCTGGTGGATGAGGGTCCAAGGGCTTGTGCTGGCTTCCTGGTGGGAGGGACTGGTACCTGCCCACAGGTGGGTGGAACTGGGTCTTAGGACTCTCTAGTCTTCTTATTGCCAACATCACAATATCTTGTAGCTGCCATGTTGAGGGAGTCTAGATTATGTTGTCCTTTTTTTTTTTTTTTTTTTTTACAACTGTTAAATTTCATTCTAGCAGGCATAAGTTACTGGAAGAACCCTTTGATCCTATGAAGCTTGACTTTATTCTTCCGATTTGAATTTATTCCCATGGCACATCCTTTCTGAGTCTCAGTATTAATGCTCCATATTCTGGGTGGAATTCCATGATCTCCCAGCTCTGCCTGTTCTCTAGTATCACCACTTACCCCAGAGAAGGCAACTTCTACTAGGTCTGTGGAAGTCCCACCCTGTACACGTGTGGTCCAGCTTTCAGCCAAGAAACTGCCCGCCAAAACCACCCCCACTCTGTGTCGCTCACGCCCTCTGGATACCCTGCCTGGCAGATTTCAGCCACTTCAGCCCAGAACTCAAATCTGCCTGCTCAGTAGACTATCACTCTGCCTGGGCTCCATCGCCCTACCCCACAATGAGAAGGTGCCCCAAGATGACAGCGGGAGCAGTCATGCACTTTCCTCCTGTTTCCTTGCTCTCTAAGATCACAGTCCTGTGTGGCTTGCTATTTAGTGCCTGAGAGTATGTATTCTGTTGCCTCGTTTGTGGCAGGCGGGAGAATCCAGTTCTAGGAATTCTGTCATGGCCTGAATTGGAAGGTGAGTTTCCATTTTGGATATGATGCTGAGTTTGTAGTGTCTGTGGAACATTCAGGTAGAAACGTCTGGCCAGCAATTGGGTATTCATGTATGGAGCTTGAAAGAGACAGCTGGGGCTGGAAATTCAGATTTTGAGGTCCTGAATTTACACTGGTAGTTGAAATCAAGGGAATGAATGTGATCACTTAGCTAGAGAATGGTTAGAGAAGGGATAGAAGAACATCCTTCTCCTTAAAAGGCTGGGAAGGTGTGGCTAAAGAAGGGACGAGGAACAGAAGACACGGGTGTCACAGAAACCACCATGAGTAAAATTGCGTTCGCCTGGGGCAGTTGCAGTATCAGGAACCCAGCCTTTCTTTCCTCTCTACATCATGCTTACCAGTCCAGAGCCAGCTCTTCTCCAGTGCTACTGAGAACTTCATAAAGCCTCACTGGGTGAACATGATGGAAGAACCTGCATACCTGGGCTCTGATACTAATCTGTAGAGTTAAAGCCATACCTGTCTGGAGGAGGCTTAGAATTTCTATCAGATGTAATCACACATCTGTGTTTTTAGCATTCTTGGGGCTGATGGCTGACAAGTTTGATCATCATTTTTATAAAATTGAGGGGAAAACTAAGGCCCTGGAGAGGTGGACAACTTGATTATTAAAGTCAGTGATGGAGTTGGCCCTGTTTCCAGTTTTAGTTTCTAGTTGTCTAGAGACCTTACCGGGTTCAGACTTGGAAGTTGCTCTAGGTCATCTAATTCAGCCGCCTTGTTTTTTAGGTGGGGAAACTGACACTGATAGAGCTTAAACTAGGTGTAAACAACAGAAATGCAGTGAAGCCAGCTTAGGCAAAGAGGAGAATTTGCTAGAAGAGTACAGAGGTAGCTGAAGGGATTCAAAAGGCAAGGATGGAGCTGAGCTTTGAGAGTAGACTGGAGCTGTGACCTGCAGTGCTGGAGAAACACTGGGATGCCCCTTGTTTCTGCCCTTTTCTCTGCTTTTTTCTGTGTCTCTCATTCATCCTCCTGTCAATGCAGACCAGCTTCTTCAGCTTCCACCCTCCCCTGCCCCCAGAGAAAATGGTCACCAACAACTGTTCCTAAAGTTTATAGCTTAGGAAACAAGCCATTCATTCCCCTCCATTCAGGAAAGAAGTCAATCTGATTCTAGAATTGCAACTCACATTCCCCTAAAGATCTCAGTGGCCCAGTGGAGCCATCCAGAGTCCAGTCATTTGCAGCCAGGGGTCTGGGTAGTGTTATTCCGCACACACACGGCTGCGGAAAGCCCTACCTCTATAAGCAAGTGGTGTAAACTGTTGGTGGGGGGAGGGATATTTTCCCCCAAAAAATCATGGGAGCAGATGGTTGAGCAGCTAGCCCAGTAGATGCTTGGGACACTAGGGTTACATGAGTAACCAGTGGCAGAGCCAGGACCAGAAACCTCAGCAGCAGTTTTCCTGAGGTTGCTTCCCATGAGGATTTGATCCATGATGAGTGGAGACAGCTCTAGGACAGTAACAGCCAAAGGTGGGTTCCCTCTGTATTAGTCCAAACTCTTAGCTACAGGTTACAGAAATTGAAATCAAACCAGCTTAAGCAGAAAGATAATTTATTAGAAGGCCATTGAGGTACCTCACAGACTTGAAGGAAAACTGAAGATTGCAGGGCATCTTCAGGAATCTGGAATCATACCACCAGGACACATACACACATACTCACTATGTTTCTTTCTCTTTTTCAATTTTCATCTTTCATCTCCTCATTTCTCCTTGGCTTTGGTAACACAAAGTTTTATCCATAAGGTAGGGAACGTGGCTGCCAGCAGTTCCAGGGTCATATCTTTATAGTGTCTTTAAGAGAAAAGAAAGCTTTCCTTGCTGATTGCAGGTAGAAAAATCCCAGGGAAGGATTCTGACTCAGTGGGTGGAGTCCTGTGATTGGCTGGGCCTAGGTGCCTGTTCACCCCTGGGGTCGGAAGGCAGGGGATATTTCAAGAAGGGGGACTGTAAGCAGCGTAGACAAAAACCTCTTTTGTTCTGTGTCTGTCTCCCAGGTGACGATGGAGGCTGGCAGCCTCCCCCTGGAGCTGTGGCGCATGATCTTAGCCTACCTGCCCCTTCCCGACTTGGGCCGTTGCAGCTTAGTGTGCAGGGCCTGGTATGAACTGATCCTCAGTCTTGATAGGACTCGCTGGCGGCAGCTGTATCTGGGCTACACGGAGTGCCGCCACCCCAACTGGCCCAACCAGCCTGATGTGGAACCTGAGTCTTGGAGGGAGGCCTTCAAGCAGCATTACCTTGCCTCCAAGATGTGGACCAAGAATGCCGCGATCTTGGAGACCTCTGTCTGCTTTTCTCTATTTCGCCGGAGGAGGACACGTCGTACCCTGAGTGTTGGGCCAGGCCATGAGTTTCACAGCCTAGGCAGTGCCCTGGCCATGTCCAGCCTATTTGACCGAATCCTGCTGTTCCCAGGTCTGCACGAAGAGCAAGGTGAAATTATCCTGAAGGTGCCCGTGGAGATCGTAGGCCACGGGAAGTTGGGCGAAGTGGCCCTGCTAGCCAGCATTGACCAGCAGTGCTCAACCACACGCCTGTGCAACCTCGTCTTCATGCCAGCCTGGTTCTCACCCTTCATGTTTAAGGTGGGTGTCTACCTCAGATGGATAGCCTCTCCCGGCCTGACCCTGGGCCTTGCCCTCTTCTCAGTGGGTTTGTAACCCTTTTTTTTGTTGGAATTAAAAAGGAGAGAGAGTTCAGTCATTAGTCCTATAACACACTCCTCTGAGTTCTGCACCAGTTGAGAAAGAGGTACAGGGATCTGTAGAGATCAGTATTCTGCTTTATTCCTGAAAAGGCTGTGCTTAAAAAAACGAGCCTTGCACTGGAGGCCAGAATTGCTTTGTACTTCTTCCTTTCCAACCTGGACCAACTGGGACCACAGGTAGAGCAGCCAGGTTCCGGGAGCGTGCCACATGCCACATGGTGACAGGAAGCAGAGAACAGGCAGCGTTCCCAGAGAGATGGCCAAAGAGGGGGGCTCTGCAGGCCAGTGACCTTCAGCACATTAGCCCCACTCTGCGGAGGGTCAAGGAAGGTCATGCTTTTGCCAAGGCTGACTGGAGAGAGGGTCAGGAAATATCAGGAGAACACATTCCTTCTAGGAACAGAGCAATTGTTTCTAAAGACAAGCATGTGTTGGGATGTTGGTAGCTTCTGGCAGAACAGTCTAGAGCTAATAGCTGTAGACTGCCAGGAGCTGCATTGCCTAGAAACTGATTGTGATACATGGATTTTGTACCTAGTCAACAAAAACTGTATTGCCACTGTTCTACCAATAACAACCAAATTGTCTCTCACGTTCGTAATGATCATTATGCCACCGATCACTTATGATGCACTTACTGTTTGCCAGCCATGTGCTTTACAGCCATGATTAAGATGGGTAGTGTCAGCTGGCTTTATTGATGAGCAGATGGAGCCTCAACAAGGGTCTCAGACTTTGTAAGGGACAGAGGTAGGGTCCAAAGCCTGTAATCATAAGATAGGTGACTTTCCATCTGTGGCCTCATTTGATCCCCACAACAAACAGTTGTGGTAGACAGAGTAGGTGTGTCCCCATTTTGCACATGAGGGACACTGAGGCTCAGAGATGCTGAGTAACTTTCTCAAATGGATAATTAGTGAGGTTAGAACTCAAATCCAGGCCTTTGAGTCTAACCACTTTTGAAATTACATTGTTCTGCATTCCCTGGAAGCTTAAAAGGCTGTTTGCTACTTAGAACATTTCAGAAGAACCGATGGAGTCCTTCTGTGCTCATCTGCAGATCTGGAAGAACGGTTCGTTTCCATACCTTCCACATTTCATAGTCATTTATTCTTCAGCCTCCACTTCCCCCTCACAAGTGCAGCTGCAGATCCTCAAGGGGTGGGTCCTGGCCGTAGACTTTGTAACCCAGCCCACCATGTGGCTTAGTGCTTGGCATATATTAGTGCTCAGTCCATGCTTGTCTTTTAACTAAAAGCAGGACAGGGGGCTAGGATGACCTTGCCTGAAAAATGCAAAGGCCAGGGTGACTTCACAGCCGTTTTTTATGACTTCTGAGGAGAACCCTAGCAATGACTCTGTGTCTCTAGAGAGCCAGGGTTTTTCTACAGAGAGGACCAAGTAAGAGAAAATAGACTTAAACTGCAGCAAGAAAAAGTTAGGTTAGCCATAGGGAAGAACTAGAGAGGTTAAGGGGAGTTAAGTTCTGGGACAAGCTCTCCAGGGAGGTCACTGCTAGAGAATGTAAAATTGTCCAGGGATTACTAAGTGGGACCATGCGACACTACTGCCTCATTTTATGGTTCAAGTACATCTCATGGAGCTTGGTGTGGAATCCAGAAGCAGTTCTTTTTCAGGAATGCAGAGTGGCTGGGCTTCTCCGTCAGGCCTGGAGGGCTGAGAGTCTCAGGTGGGCTGTTCCGTAGGGCCGAGTAGTATCCCCACCCCAGAGAACTCTCTGCTCTCCACGTCCCTTGACCCCAGATGATAACAGCTGGCTTTTCTCACGTGCCAACTTGGTGCATGGCTCCGTGCCTGGTGCTTTGTTAGTTCGTGGGCCCCGTGTTGCAGACAGAGAAACTGAGGCTTAGAGAAGTGATGTGTTTATCCAAGATAACACACCTGGAAGAGGCAGAGCTGGGAGCTGGGCCCTGCAGCTGGACCCCAGAGCCCGCACTCTTAGCCACTGCTCAGGGCACTCACCCGGTCACGGCAGTACACCTTGTCACCTTCTTTAGGGACGTGGCCTGCTGTCTCCTGCCGTAGTTCTGCACCAGCACCAGTTCCCACGCAGACTTTCCCAGCACCTGTGTCTGGGCCTCCCACTGCTGGCCCAGCCCCAGCAGAGGTCAGCCCCTCCTGGCCCACCCTGGCCTCTGTCAGCCCCCTGGCTTTGCCCAGCTCTATCCTGACTCCACACTCCAGACTGGCCTATGTGGTGAACCTCAGGGCTGCAGGCTCAGGTGGAGGCAGGCTCTCAGGGCCAAGGGAGGATTTGAATGAAGGGATAGTGCTTTGGAAGGAGAGACCCGGAGGAACACCACCTGGTGGGACACAGTCTCCGTGTGTAACCGAGACACCACGTGGGACCCTCACCCATCAGAGGGCTTGGTAAAGTTGGGCTCACATCCCAGCCAGTTCCTGTGTTTGTGAGAATCCAAAGCTCTCCCCCATCATTTCTCCCTTGAGCGACCGTCTCCTGATTCATCTCCAGTATTGAGTCGATTCCATTTCACGCAGCATCCCTCTGAGCATTCAGCCTCTTCCCCCTTCTCCATGTTACCCCCCACCCCCCACACCAAACTCTTTATTCTCACTAAGCGCTTCATGAGCACTGGTGGAATTTACTTGAGACTTGAGGGTTTGGGGAAGGGCCCTGCTCCAGAAAGTGAACTTTTCTGCCATTATCCGTTTCCACTCTTGTCTCCTGCCCTTTGGGATTGGAAGGAGGGAAGGGCAGGCAGCTCCAAATGATCTTCCTTCTGATGCACAGCAGCTCTTGGTTCCTCCTGGGGCTGGCAAGACCCTTGCCCTGTGGGGAAGGGAACATGACCAGCAGGACAGATGGCCTTTCCAGGTGCCATCCCCTTACAGAACAGTTAGAGCTCTGACTAGCAAAACAGATCTTATCTCTGTTACACCCACTTTCTCTCTTTCGTTCCCCAGACAACTTCAGGTCACGTCCAGTTTGACAACTGCAACTTTGAGAATGGACACATCCAGGTCCATGGCCCGGGCACCTGCCAAGTGAAGTTTTGCACTTTCAAAAACACCCATGTCTTTCTGCACAATGTGCCCCTGTGTGTCCTGGAAAACTGTGAATTCGTGGGCAGTGAAAACAACTCTGTGACTGTTGAGGGCCACCCATCCTCAGAGAACAACTGGGCCTACACGCATCTCTTAGGGCTTATCAGGTCCTCTCCCGGCGTGCTCCCAACAGAGGACTCTGACTCTTTAATGTCCTTGGACCTGGAAAGCAGGGACCAGGCCTGGAGCCCAAGAACCTGTGGCATTGTCATTGAGGGTAGCCAGAGCCCTACCAGCCCAGCAACTGGCTCCCCCAAGGCTGGCTCACAGGAGACAGAGGTGGGCAGCGATGGGGAAAGGGTGGCCCGGACCCCAGACAGCAGCGATGGAGGCCTGAGTCCCAGCGGTGAGGATGAAGATGAGGACCAGCTCACGTACAGACTGTCCTACCAAGTGCAGGGACCGCGGCCGGTTCTGGGGGGCTCCTTTTTGGGCCCACCACTGCCGGGAGCATCCATCCAGCTGCCCAGCTGCCTGGTGCTGAACTCACTACACCAGGAGCTTCAGAAGGACAGGGAGGCCATGGCGCTGGCCAGCTCTGTGCAGGGCTGCCTCATCCGCAAGTGCCTGTTCCGGGACGGGAAGGGAGGCGTCTTCGTTTGCTCTTATGGCCGAGCCAAGATGGAAGGAAACATCTTCCGGAACCTGACTTATGCGGTGCGATGTATACATAATAGCAAGGTGCGACGTATACATAATAACAAGGTGCTGTCATAAGGCTTACTGTACAGACCCATGAGGCCTCGCTGGGTCACAAGGAACATGATTTTTGAGTGGTGAGAGGGCTTCAGTGGCTGTACGCAGGAGGGCTTGGATGGTGCTAGTATGCATTTTTTTTAAAAATCTTCTTTTAATCTTATAACACACACTTGCCTCATGTCCATCATCTGATTTGGATGAGGCAGAAACTATTCTTCCCATTTTACAGAAGAGGAAATAGGCCTAGGGAGGAAGGTGACTCACTCAGGATCACACAGCAGGTTAGAGGCCAAACAGAATGGGGACTAGAACCCAGGTCTTCCACCTCCTTTCTCTATGTTATGCTGCTTCTCAAATATGTCACCCAACTCCTAGTAGAAGGAACAAGGGCTCTTTAGCCTGGATGCAAGATAATTTTGGGAGACGTGATCGCTGCCTGTGATCCAAACTGTGGGTAGTTGAGAAGGCTTCCCAGACGAGGAGATGTCTAAGCTGAGTAGGATGAGGAGAGGAGAACCAAGGAAAATGGGCTGCGTGTGGTAAAAAGGAGGTGCGCAGTGAGGGTTCGGTCAGCAGACATCCTGTGCTGGGGCCTGGATGTGAGGCCAAGTTCAGCAGTGTGGTGGGGACCATTGGAAAATGAGCAGGGGAGGTAAGCAGAATCCATCTTGACCAGGGCCTAGAAAGCCCCGTTGAGATGTATGGACTTCATACTAAGAATGGGTCATCCTGCTCTGCATGCCATCAGCGCCTTGTACCTGCAACCCCCTCAGGCACCACAGGACAGTAACAGCTCAGGATGGGAAAGGCTTCTAAAAGGAAAGACATGGCCTTTTAGAAGGAAGCATGACATAGCTCCTAGGTTTGAGTCTCACTTCTCCTCTAATTCACTGTGAACATTACCTTCCTCTCGTGTGAAATGGAAATACTGCCCCACTTCTTCGACTGGGGGTTTGTGAGGATCCAGTGCCATAATATTGGCAAAAGCACTTAGAAAACTGAAGGGCATTGTACAGATGTCACATAGAAGTCTTGCAGGTCTCTGAAAGCTTCTAGAATGGCTAATAGCAATTGCATCTTAATTGTATTTTACCCATTTCCAAAGAGGATTTCAGGTGGTGTTACCCTGGAAACACAATATAAAATTGTGCTATGAACAGAGAATAAAAGATAAAGGTCAAATAAAAGGGGTGGGTGACAGCTTTGCTCTCAGGGGGACCACAATGAAAGGATCTGGGGTGAGCCCTCAAAGAGGGCTTTCCTCCTTGCATAGTTATTAAGAGGTGGCTTCTGAGTCAAATTCTGGCTCTGCCCCTTATTGGCTGTATGCCCTTTGGACTAATGATACTACCTACTCCAAGGTGTCGTGAGGATTGACTGAGGTCATATATATGCATATATATATATAAAGTGCTTAGCAGTGTGTCTGGTGCGTAGCAAGTACTCCATAAATGTGTTTGGTGTTTTTTTTTAAGACTTAAAAAAATATCTTTCCCGGAGGACTGGTGCCTGGCCAAGCCGTCTAGGAAGACTAGGAGTTGGCAGGGTGAAGCCGTGAGGCAAAGGAGGCACGCGGGAAGGCCCTGACATAGAGAGGACACAGGACACTCAGGGAGTCGCAAGTAACCTCAGCAGCCAGAGCGTGAGGTGAGGGCTAGTCAGCAAGAGTCAGTCAGCTCAGGGGCAGGTGTCTCATCAGAGAGATGGGAATTGTCTTGAGGGCAGTGGGAACACACTGAAAGATTTTAAGCAGAGAATTGTGGTCAGATCTGCATTTGGAAAGCTCCTTCTGTCAGCTTTGTGTGGAATGGAGTGGAGGGGAACAAGACTGGTGACACAATCAGTGCGGGGCAGTGGATAATTAGGGTCCGTACATGGAGAGGAGGAACAGGGCAGTCCGGAGAGGTGGCAAGGAGAACCTCGGGAGGGGAGTGGTCGAGGTTATGTGGCCTAGATTTCTGGTGCAAGTGGCTGAGGCAAAGGCAGGAACTGAGAAGCCGAGGTTAGGATGTGGAGAGAAAGATGCTGAGTGCAGCTCTGGGCACGTTGAGTTTGGAGCATCAGTGACATCAGGCAGAGGTGCCATCTGGTTACGTGGGGCTGGAGCTTTGAGGAGAGATGTGCCCTGACATGCAGACTTGGGAGCAGGTGGTAATTGGAGTCATGGACAAGGAGAGACAAAAAGTTAAACAGCTTTCGTTGTAGCCCTCTGGAACTGTTGCCCCCAGGGAACTTTGTGGCAGGAATTGTGCAGCCAGCTGTTCCTAGTGAGTCTCCAAAAAGGAACCTGAAAAGCTGATTTTGGCTGGCCTTTGACTAAAACAATCCATGGTGTCTCATGAGTACGCAGCTTCCGGGAACACATATATCAAATGGCATTAATACAAGTGAGGAGCTGTGGGCGGGAGTGCCGGCTTACTGAGCTGGTCCCTGTGGCCAGGAGCAAGGCCTTGATCCAGTGGCCAGAGGGCAGCCGCCCTACCTCTGCCCTCCAGAACATTCCCGAGAGGGTAGAGGCTGGCAGAGGGAATGAAGGAAAGTATCACTGACCATGATTTTTTTTTTCTTGCTTCTTTGGGTATCTGGTAATTTTTAGTTGGAAGTGAGGTATCTTGTATAGGCGGTGGAGACAGAGGTAAATGGTGTTTATGTGTGGGAATGGGCATGCCTCTTCTGTGATGCTTGGATTTTGTTGTTACGATTACCTTCAGTGAACCACAGGCTCCTGATTCCTCCTGCATTACTTTGGCTGGTTTGCCAGTGGACTTTTCTGTTTTAGTTCTTCCCTTTGCATCTGCTCCTCCGTGCTCTTGCCCCTTCCAGCAGCAGGCCACTGCCGTGGCTCTGGCTGGCCAACCTGGTGGCACAGTGGGTGGTAGGGAGCCTCTCGTGTCCGCATTTATCCTTAGTCTTAGGAAGATGCTGTGTCGGTGGATTTAGGACCTTGGCACTAGGCCCTTTTCAGTGGTCCTGCCTCACCCCCCAGCACTAGGGGGGCTCTAATGATCGAGGCCCAAGATATTTTCCTCCCACCTCCCTGAGGGGTAAAGCGTTTATTGTTTTTCTGTTCCCTCCCTTGAGAGCCACAGGGTTTGCTGCCCTTCCCCCAGCTGCTTAAGGCTTGTTCTTTGGGACAGTTAGAGGAGAAAAATCCAGGAGGGGCTTAGTGCTTTTCCCACAGCAGCTGTACTTTTCCCACAGTGGCTGTACTTTCCCCCAAGCGCCCACCAGGAGGGAGGCTGTCTCCCGTCTCTCGTCCTGCCCTCAGTCTTGCTCCATGAACACCTGGTGAGGTCCATGGAGAAGTGAATAGATGCAGCTGCTCCCGGGGCTTCTGTGCTCTCACCAGTTCACAGCTGGCCTTTAACAGTTCATGGAAACGGTTAGCTGAACTCTTCTTACTGGCCAATATGGCATCTGTGTCTTTTCAGACAAACAAGTACTCACGTCTCGTGTCCTTGAAGGTGCCTGTTGCCCTTAGATTCCAGGCTAGTTGGTTGTCCTGCAACCTCAGCTTGCTGATGGATTCAAGAAAGGTTATGTTTTGTATCTTCTTGTTGTAAGTGTGGGAGCAACGCTCTTTCCAACTTTCCCCATTCTAAGCAGAAAGCTTCTCCTTGAAATTGTACTTCCATTATACTTTACCCCTCCCAGAGTTTTATCCTAATGTAATACAGTGTTTATTGTTAGTATACAATTTACCTTAATGTAGTACATTTCATTGTTAATACATAGTTGTTTAAAACAATATGTATTCTAGATTTTTAGTATTGCTAAAAAGAGAATGGAAGTGGCAGTGCATCCCCTTAATAAGCTGTTTACTGAGTTATGGTACCTTGTTTTAAAGAGGCTTCTTTGTCTTATACCAACACTTGCAGTTGTCTCTTAGCTTGGAGTTCCATTGGTTTTTCCACCCTAGGATAATAATACAGCAAGAGAGATGCAAAGCGGGCAAGAATGGGTATTTGTCTTAAAAGTGGAAAGCAAAAGGGAAGGTGGGAGAGGACAGCCTACGAGGTACTTTACCCTCAGGTGCTTCCTCAGGCAGGTGAAGTTCAGCAAAGGCATGTGTGAAAGTGGTGGATCTGGCACTCGATTCCATTCAAAGTAGCTATGCCCTTGGACCCCTGGAAATCTTCATGTAACTGCACTGCATGTAGAGTTTGCAGACCACTAAATCCCACCTTCTCCAGGCGTCCTTTCCATGCCGTCATCCAGTTATTTATCCTGCTCAGAGGCTGTGAAAATAAATGTAAATATTTATCCTGCTCAGAGGCCAAGCTTCCATCCAGGTTTTAGTAAAGAACTGGTGTGAGGTTGGTGCAGTCCCTGTAGGGCAAAGCCAGGAAGGACACGGAAATGGCTCAGTCCTCACGAGCACACGGCGGAGAGTGGCTGGTCTGGCATCAGGTAGAACTGCACGGACCAGACGGGAAGGAAGACTCAGGTATTCCCCAAGCAGTTTTTAAAATACCTTTGTGACAGGAAAATGAATGGCTCTCTCTTCTCTGCCTAGATCATCATGCTCAGGAACCACATTCACCACTGCAGAGCGTCAGGTATCTTTCTTCGCTTGGAGGGCGGAGGCCTGATCGCCGGCAACAACATTTATGACAACGCGGAGGCCGGCGTAGACATCCGGAAAAAGTCCAACCCTCTCATTCTGGTACTTCCTCCATCTTCTTGCCCTTTCAGGGTGGCTCTTGGTTCTCAGAGACCTTTTCTGAGGATGTTTAAGCAAATGCTGCCATCTTGAATTTCTGTTGCTTCCTGTTTGCAGGTAGTTCCTGCCTTTTCTCTGTGTGTCCTTGTGACTCTGGGTCTCTTTCTCCATGTATTGAGAGTGACTTTGCATAAGTCACGTACGTCCCTGCAGTCTCCCCTAGCAAGGAGGAGGACTGGATAGACAGGGAAATTCACAGGGCCTTCCCTCCCTCAGCCCTGTTATGCTCTTGTGGGCTTTGAGTTCGGTAAGAATAAAGATATGTCTGCCATGAAAGACACTTGGATCAAAAATAAAACACCAAATTAGTTCATTCTTTACTATTAAAAGGACACGTAGGATATTTATTCTGAAGATAACTTGTTTCATGGATATCGTGAGGCCATAGTGAGTTTGATCTTAGCCAGTGTGAAAACCACTTAAAATCCTAGAATATGAGACCAGTGACATGAAAGACCTGCCCCATAGTTTTGCTCCAGCCTTCTCTGAGAGACAGGTTTCCCAGAAATTGAGAAACATAATGGACTTTTTATGGGCTTGGAAAAATAATATCCGTCCTATACATAGTGCTTATTGTATGCCAGATACTGTTCTAAGCACTTGGTATATATTTATTTAATCATGGTTTAACTCTTACACAACCCTTTGAGATAGAATTATTATTATTCCCATTTCATAGGTGAAGACACGGAGGCACAAAGACGCTAGGGACCTTGCCCTAAATCACACATCTAGTGCTAGCGCTGGCCTTTGAATCCAGGCAGTCTGTCTCAGGGTGGATGTTCTTAACCCAGTATATCTAGACTGCCCTTGCAAATGCAGAGAAAGGCAAGTTCTTAACTATATTTCAAGAGACATGCCTGGCCAGAGTCCTCTGCCAGCCCCTTCCTCTCACTCTTTCTGCCATGCGACTGATATTTGATGCATGGCCTTGCCTTAGGAAATTATTGCCACAGTTGCCAGAGAGATGAGAGGAGTTTGCCTTCCCAGGGATGGGGGGACAGGACAGTTTAGCAGGTGGAGGGGGAAGGGAGTATTACCTGCCTTTGTGAAACAGTGCAGGATAGAAATACCATTGCTTACACCTCTCTCCCTGTGCTTTTCAACCCTGTGAGGGACTTCTGTAGGCAGCGGTTACCCTGGTGAGTCTGCAAATCCTTCAGGGGAAAATCTGAAAAGTGAGTAAGAATAGGAGAGCTTGCAGCATGAAACACTTTAAAGCAAACTAGAACTTTGTTTCTGTGAAATAATTTTGGAAGAGAAACAGCTAGCTTTCTGGTTTAAATATAGGATTGTATTTAGGCTGTAAATTAGCAATTAGAGTGAAACAATTTTATTATAATTTATTATAACCTAAAATTTTCATCACTGTCCAAAAGCAACTAACTGACTGGGAAACAGAAAAATTAGGTTTCAGATCTGGCCCTGCCACAAACATACTATATGACCCTGGGCCTGTTTCCCGTTTGCAAGGTATGAAAATCTCCAAGGGTCCTTGCAGCTCGTACACCTGGTGACCTCATGCCTCATGGGACACCTAAGCTCCCTGGGGCTGTACCTTCCACAGGTCCCCCCCGAATGGGAAGGGAAGACTAGAAGCCAGTGACCCATTCCTTCCCTGGGTGGCCCCTTGGGACTGCGCTTAGCCAAAGTTCCCATGTACTGGGGCACTGCCCCCTTCTGAGAGGTGGGCGCCCTGGGCCCTGGGGTGACATGGCCTAGCCAATGATCGTGTGTTTTGGGGACTCTTTGGAGGCTCAGAAATTTTCAGTAGTGTGCACTGCAGATGAAGGGCAGGAGTCCTCAGCAGTAAGTGCCAGCATAACTACATCCCAAGAGTCTGGGTGGGGAAGACTCCTCTCTTGGGAGTCTCCCTCATAGGTGTCAACATGTGCACCTGTGCAGAGAGGGCAGGGCTGCGTCCATTCACTTTGTTTTTTGTTGTTGTTTCTTTTTTTAGAAATCTATTTTTATCTTTTTTACTTTTTGGCTTTATTGCTGGGTCTTTATTGCTGCGCACGGGCTTTCTCTAGTTGCGGCAAGCGGGGCTACTCTTCATTGCGGTGCGCAGGCTTCTCACTGTGGTGGCCTCTCTTGTGGAGCACAGGCTCTAGGTGCACAGGCTTCAGTAGTTGTGGCACACAGGCTCAGTAGTTGTGGCTCGCGGGCTCTAGATCACAGGCTCAGTAGTTGTGTTGCATGGGCTTAGTTGCTCCGTGGCATATGGGATCTTTCCTGACCAGGGCTCGAACCCATGTCCCCTGCATTGGCAAGTAGATTCTTAACCACCGTGCCACCAGGGAAGCCCATTCACTTTGTTTAGTGCTCAGGATCTTCCAGCAACGTAGTTTTCTCTGCTGGTTCATCCTGGCCCTGCTGTGGGGCAGCAATGAGCACTCTGCTTCTCAGTGGCGTGTCTGAGCTGCCTTCTGTGGTGTCTCATGTTCACTTGCAGTGTAACCAGATCCACCACGGCCTTCGCTCTGGCATTGTTGTCCTTGGCAATGGGAAAGGCATCATCCGGAATAATCAAATCTTTTCAAACAAGGAGGCTGGCATTTACATCCTGTACCACGGAAATCCAGTCGTGAGGTATGTGCCACTGTACCCAGACCATCCTGCTCACCCATGGTCCCTCTTTCCTCTCTGATCTCTGTGTTTTCCTACTATCTGTCTTTGCTTCATTTGAAACCATTTTTGTTTATGAAAACAACTGTACGGATGCAAGCAGGGAAGAGACAGACTTCACCCATAATCCCACCTTAGTCACACAACCTTTTGTGGTATTGCATCTGTGTTGTGTGCTTTTGTGTCTGTGTTTCCTTCCAGTTAACTAGGTGGGGCCATTCTATTCAGCAAACATTACTGAGCCCTTCTAATAATGATAACAAAGGTAAACAAGGGCAGACTCCGCTCCCTAGGAGATTACTTTAGTCTGGAGGACATGTGTGCTCAGAAATAATGCTAAGATAGGAATGACATAGAGATTTCAACTCACCTGACAACTCCAGTCAGTTGATTGTGGCTACCTGGGATGCTGTATTAAGATCTGGAGGCTACATCTGACCTCAGCATGAAAGCATGCTGTGATCAATCAGTGGTATAAGCTGTAGGTGGGAGGGGCCGTGGATTTGACTTCCCATCTGTCATATGGCGCAGACTGTGATAAATACTATCAAAGTGGTACCAAGAGAGGGGGAATCATTCTGACTAGGGGGCTGTGGGAGGCCTCATTTGGGAGGTGGCATTGGAGTTAGACTTTGAAATACCGGTAGAGCTTGGACTCTCATGGAGATGGGGAGTGGACTTTCCTGGTAAAGGAAGCAGCTTGAGTAAAGCAGCAGAGTGCAGCAGATTCAGGGGTAGCACACGGCCCACTGGCGCTTGAGAAAAAGTCTGACACAAGTTGTGACGTTAGTATAAAACATCTTAAATTGGGACTGTCCCTGATGATCTTGGATCCTTTGGTCACTGCAGCTTGAACGTTAAGGTTTGGAGTAGAAGACCCACACAGTTATGGCTGCAGTTTACAAAAATCACTGGCATTAATGTTCAGCAGATGTATTCTGAGAGTTTTTCCCTGCATTATTCCATGTGTACTTTTCCATGCTGTTGCAGCACCTTGTATTTATCACTTTGGACAGTTTCAGAACTGGTCCATTGTTTTGATATTCCCTCATTTTTGAACCAGTCCTATTACTGTTCCTCTGGATTTTTTTTTTTTTTTTTTTGGCCACACTGCATGGCTTGCGGGACCTATTACTGCTAGGCCTCTATTTTTTCACTGTTATAGACAGCTTACTAAAAACAATTAGTGATCACAGAGCTCTTTTTCCATCTTTTGCATTATTGCCTTAAGATAAGAGTATGGGTTTGCATGTATGCATGTCATTCATTTAACACACATTTGAGGGTTTATTCCATGTAAAGGGACAGCAGTATAAAAAGTGTGTACAAATAGTCTCTCCTCCGTGGAGCATGCAGTCTCATTCTGGAGACAGGAGCCATGAGGGAAGACTCACCAAAGCATATGCTTTATAGGTCTTCATGCAGGTGCAGAAGGAGCCCAGCCACAATTTCAGCTGAGCAAGTCAGGGCAGGGCACGTGGGGCGCTGACATTTGAGTTGTGCTTGAAGGATGAAGTGGATTTTATGGCCATAGGAAAGGCATTCTGGGCCTGGGGCAGTGAAATTTGGGGTATGTCTGGGGAAAATGGTGTAAAAAATGTGGTGGTATGTCTGGGCATGTGATGCCCGGGGGGGTTGAGTAGATGATCAGCCTACAAAGTGGGGTTGATGCTGGAGCACGGAGGACCTCGAATACCAAGTGTGGTGGGTAGAATAATGGCACTCCAGATGTATTCATTTCCTAATGCTTGGAACCTGTGCATATGCTGTCTTACAAGGCAGAAGAGACTTTGCAGATGTGACTAAGTACGTTGAGATGGGGAGAGTATCCTGGGTTATGCAGGTGGGCCCAGTGTCATTGCAAGGGTCCTTAGAAGAGGGAAGCAGGAGAGTCAGAGAGAAGGAAATGTATCAACAGAAGCAGAGGTCAGAGTGATGAGGCCACAGGCCAGGAAATATGGGCAGCCTCTAGAAGCTGGTAAAGACAATAAATGGATTCTTCCCTAGAGCCTCCAGAAGGAATACAGGTCTGCTGGCACCTTGATTTAGCCCCATCAGATCCATTTTGGACTTCTGGCCTCCTAAACTGGAGGATAATGAATTTGTGTTGTTCTAAGCCACTCAGTTTGTGGTAACTTGTTACCTCAGCCATACACCCAGAACTTGTGGGTGCTGGTGAACTGTTGAAGGGTTTTGAGCAAGGAATATTACAACCAGATCAGTGTCTTGGGTTTTTAAAACAGTCGCTTTGAGAGAATAGGTTGTGCTTTTTTCCTTTATGTTTCTTTGTGATGGTGGATAGGGATCTGTGGGAGGGTACAGAATGAATTTCAAGATCCCTGAAGTGGCCTAGATAAGGCAAACCACAGCATATTTTTTTGCCGGTGAGTTATATAACCTATGGTGTTTCTCTTTTTTTGCCTTGGCTGCAAGGAAGCACAGGACTCAGACTGGCTCATCTGTTGTTAATATCCCATCCTTGGTTCTTGGAACAATGATCTGTCCCCTTTTCCTACTGTTTTCTGATACCTCTTTTATCTTTGTTCTGCCCACCCTATGTACACACACATACATGTTTCTCCAAGTGGCCATGGATCCTTTCTGAAGGTAAGTGAGATCTGTATTAAAAGTATACCACTCATGCATTTGCTGCTATGGCACAGCTCTCAGAAATATGGATGAGGTGTGCCTTGCCCAGGGACTACATCTGACCCTGAATTCTAGAAGCCCAGAGTAACCATCAGCTGATTAAATTGTAATAACATCAAAGCAGATACTTCAGATCTGTCTGAATAAAAGCATAAGGATGTTTTAAACCTTGTTCTACTCCAAACACATAATGTAGATGCAGTTGGCATTTGACTTCCCCCGAAGGAAGTAAACCATTTGGACCCTGCCCTAGGAAGTGGGAAGATTTATCAGCCAACTGCTAATCACTGGAGTTCTGTGAGGAGCCAGGCCCTGTGTTAGGCTCTGAAGAGCCAGGTGAATATTTGGATCTAAATCCTTCTGCTGCATGCATGGTAGGAAGTAGGAGGGCACCTCCTAAGAGAGGGGGCCGGTGCCCCTCCAGTAGGGAAGGAGAACACAGCATTCCTGGTAGTAAAAGTAACAAACAGCAAATGTGTATGCTCCAGGAATAACCCAGTTCTGCTAGGGTCTGGGTGTGACTGGCTCTGTATTTACAGGCAAGAGACCAAGGTAGAGAGACCGGAGAGAAATGCACGTCCTTTAACATGCTCAGGTGTCTGGTTCTAAGGAACACATTCATGAGGCCTTGCCATGGTAGTAGGGCTGTGTGTAGCCCAGCCCATGGGGTTTCACATATGTGTGGTCTGATATTCTTAAAACCTCTTTTTAAAATCTGGTTTTCTTCTTATAAGGCATGTCATTATTTTATGTTTTCATTCAGTGGATAGGTGACTGAGTTAACAGAAAATAAGCTAAAGAGTAGCTGCTGGATACAGACAGAAGACAGTAGGCTTGTTACAGGCAGAATCTGATTCAGGGACATAAATCACTCCCAGACAAGCTTAACACAGCCTCCTAGGAATTCTTGACACTACCAAGACTTTACCTGTGATCATGCACCATGATGACATTTGTTTAAAATGGTGTTTATATGAATAACAAGTATTGGCCAGAATGTGGAAAAAAGGGAACCTTGTACACTGTTGGTGGATTGTAAATTGGGGCAGCCACTGTGGAAAACAGTATGGAGGTTTCTCCAAAAACTAAAAATAGAACTACCATATGACCCAGCAATTCCATTCCTAGGTATATATCCGAAAACAAAAACACTAATTCAAAAAGATACTTGCACTCCAGTGTTCATAGTAGCATCATTCACAATAGCCAAGATACGGAAGCAGCCTAAGTGTCCATCAACAGAGGAGTGGATAAAGAAGATGTGGTATATAAACACAATGGAATACTACTCAGCCATAAAAAAGAATTAAATTTTGCATTTGCAGCAACATGGATGGACTTGGCATTATGCTAAGTGAAATAGACAGAGAAAGACAAATACTGTACGATATCACTTATATGTGGAATCTAAAAAAATGCAACAAACTAGTGAATATAACAAGAAAGAGGCAGACTCACAGATGCAGAGAACAAGCTACTGGTTACCAGTGGGGAGGGGGGAGGGGCAATATAGAGGTGGGGGAGTAAGAGGTACAAACTATTAGGTATAAAATAAGCTACAAGGGTATATTGTGTAACACAGGGAATATAGCCAATATTTTATAATATCTATAAATGGAGTATAACCTTTAAAAATCATGAATCACTATATTGTACACCTGCAACTTAGATAATATAGTACAGCAACTGTATGTCAATAAAAAATAAAATAATGGTGTTTATATGTGGATAACAGTCCAGAGAGGCTGCAGAGACATGGATATAATGATATGTGCTTCTGTGGCATAGTTGTAGGTTATTTGGGATCAGTGGTAACTGAAGATTGCTAACTGCCTGGCTTCTGGGGCTTGAGGAGGTGCTTCATGCCCCTGTGGACCTGAGCCATCTGGGAAGCCCACAAAAGAAGGCAGGCACCTTGGATGGGCTTTGTCTTTGATACATGACATTGGTCTGGTCTCACCTTTTGTCTTCTCCTTCCATTCTAGCCGGAACCACATTTTCAAGGGCAGTGCAGCCGGCATAGCTGTGAATGAGAATGGCAGAGGCCTCATCACAGGTAGGGGTGGGACTGCCTGGAGCCGCAGCACCCAGTGACCACAGCCAAGCCAACGCCTCAGGCTTCCCACCCACCCAGTTCTTCACCTCGACAGACTGGCCTCCTTGATAGTGGCTAGCACTTGGGGATGCCAGCCCCAAGCACTGGCCATGCTTATCAGGCAGGGAGAGAGCGTCTGCTCTTTGCCAGGCCTGGTGCTTACAGGATCTGAATGGATGGCTGTTGCTGACATAACACTGTCAGAAACATTCATACCACACAAACTGTCTGAATCCCTCCTCTTGGCTTTTACGGGCTTGTGCCTGCTCTGGCAGTCCATCCCCATTTCCCCTCTGCCTGGCCAACTCCTGCTCATTCTTTGAGTCTCAGCCTAAGTGTCACTTCCTGGGGGAAGTCTGCCCTGACCTCCCATTATACATCAACACTCACTCTACCCAGTAGGCCTGCTCTGCAGGACATTTTACTTAATTTCTTGTGATCTGTTTAATGTCTGTCTCTTTTGCTGTATCCTATAAGGCAAGGATCAAGTCTGTCTGGTACGTCAGTGTAGCCTCAGCACAGAGCGTAGCCATACCTAGGACATTAAGGAGATTCAGTAGATATTGGGCCAGTGAATCCCCCTGACTGGATCCAGCCTTCCTTCATTTATCGGATGTTTTTTGAGCACACACTGTATGCGGGAGCTGGGGATACAGCAGTGAACAAAACAGATGATTTCTGCTGTCAAGAACTGACATTTTAGGAGGGGAAGAAAACCATTTTTTTTCCCAAGGAAAGTCATATCTGAGGGTGATAAGTGCTTTACAGATAATTAAAATAAGGTGATAGAAGAACTGTGTGGGTATTTAGTATTGTATGGTCAGGGCAGGCCTTTCTGAGAAGGTGACATGTAAGCCAGAAGCTGGATGATGGGAAGGAGCCCAGGAAAAGAACGAGGATTCCACACGGGGCTACCTGTGGGAATAGACTTTGCATGCCTGAGGAGCACAGAGGTTGCTCATTTGACTGCAGTGTGGTGAGCAAGGGGCAAGGAGTATGAGATGGGGTCCCAGAGGCAGGCAGGGAGGGGCCAGCCACACAAGGCCTCATGAGCCATTGCAGTCCTGTTGCAGGAGGCTGAGAGTCTGCCCTGCCGCCATGCTGGGGCAGCAGTGTCTCAGGACACCCCTTCTAACTTGTGGCTCTTCAGCCCACTCACTTCCAGAGACATGGGGGAGGGGAGAGGAGAGGAAGGCTGTGGTCAGTCCAGAGCTGAGGCTGAGAAGGACAGGCTAGCGCCTTCCCAGGCGTGTGGGGGAATGGCTGGATTCTGCTTCAGCCCTCCCAAGGACAGCCCCCTAGGACAGAACAGTCCTGCCTGGCCTTGGTCCAGGGACTCTAAAGCCAGTCTGTTCTTAGTCATCAATCATCCAGGCCACTGGGTACAGTGGATGCTGGGGATATAGGAGACCACAAGACAGACACGAACGTTGCCCTTGAGGAAAGCAGACAGTAGACAAGTCCCTAGAAAGTCAAACACCAGACAAGATTCGGGGCGCTGACTGCTGACGGGAAGGCCTAGGCGTCTTTGTCCAGACTTGCCTTTCTATCAGCTGTCCAAGTCCTCGTTGCCAGCACTGTAGGTGACTCTTGACCCTCTTTTCTGCCTCTTCCCGTAGAAAACGTCATCCGAGAGAATCAGTGGGGAGGTGTGGACATCCGCCGAGGAGGGGTCCCCATCCTCAGGAGCAACCTCATCTGCTTTGGCTATTCCGATGGTGTTGTTGTTGGGGATGAAGGCAAAGGCCTGCTAGAAGGAAACACCATCTACGGTGAGGGTGCATTCCTGAGGGAGGGGTTTGGGGCCCAGCCCAGCCTGGAGGCAGGCAGCCCAGGTTCCAGCTCCAGCCTGTGGGTCCTGAGAAAGTTGCTGCCTTTGCCTGGGCCTCAGAGATCTCATCTTAAAGAATAGCATCCATCTCAGGTCACAGCCACATAGACCCTACCACTTACCCACATAGAAGGCATGAGGCTCTCATAAATCACCTTCTAATCCAGATTGACCCCATGGGGTCAGCAAAGCAGAGAAGCTTTATCCCCCACTTAAAACAGCAAAAGGCAGGAGTGGATCTTGCATAAGGCCAGGGCCATTTAATTTCTCACACATGGACGTCTAACTTCTCTTATCCTTTCTTTTGATCCAGAGAACTAAAAATATAATGGGAGAAATAGGGTAATCGTAGAAGGAAAAGTGTTCTCACTCATTCTGTGATTTGGGGCAAAGCTTCCATCTTTCTGGACTGCATCCCTAATAATAATTATACTAACCTACATTCAGGCTCTGGACTCTTGCTAAGCCCTTTATATGCATTAGCACATTTAATCCTCATGACTACCTTCTGAGGTAGGTACAGTTATTAAACCCATTTTATTTTATTTTTTAATTAATTTTTTGGCCACACTGCGTGGCTTACGTGATCTTAGTTCCCCAACCAGGGGTTGAACCCATGGCCCCCTGCAGTGGAAATGTGGAGTCCTAACCACTGGACATCCAGGGAATTCCTGTAACCCCATTTTAAAGGTGAGGAAGCTGAGGCACAGAGAGGTTCAATAACCTGCTCAGTGTCACACAGCTAGGAAGTGGTATGGCTGGAACTCAAACTGAGGCCACCTCCATCTCTGTGCAGGGAGGAGTTGTGCTGGATGAGCTCTGAGGGCCCCTTTGGCACTGTCACCATGGGCTTGTGTGATTCTTATCTGGAAGTGGGGCCTTGACAGTTCCCAGAGCACTTTTACGCCCCATGGAATGATTGCCGTTGTGAGATTGACCTGTTATTACCCCTCCTGTATGAAGGAGAAGCCTGCAGCCAGGCCCTAAAGTGACTTGTCCGAGGCCATTTGCAAATCAGGGACTCTGTCTCCAGGCCAGCACCTTTCCTACTTCCCCTCTCGGGGAGGCACTGGGTGCTGCCTCGCCCGTCACTCAGCCTCAGTGACCAGCTCCTTTCACTGTCCCAGCTAATAAGGGCTGTGGTGTGTGGATGATGTCATCTAGCCTACCCCACATCACCAGCAACCACGTCAGCTACAATGGCGTGTATGGAGTGGCAGTGTTCAGCCAGAAGGATGGCTCCGGGGAGTCCCCTGGAGGCCATGTGGCCCAGGAGAACTTCGGCGAGGATGGGGACGCCACCCTCTGGGAGACGGAGCTGGAGAGGGATGATGACCTGCTGCGCCGGCCCATCGCCACAGCTCTGGTCGAGTCTAACACTGTTAATCACAACGGAGGTGAGTGCCCCTCCGCACAGCCCCTGCTCCAGGGCCTCCCGTGCTCTGCCTGCCCTAAGGCCCTTCTAGCCTCATTAGCCACTTCCTTCAGCCACTTACCCGGTACCCCAGCCCCCTGGACTTCACGTGCCCTTGACATGAATCCATTCTTTTCTGTTCCCACCCACCCCACCCTGCCTTTCTCTTGCCGTTTCTCTTGCCTGAAATTCCCTTTCTCCCATCCACACGTCCCAAATAACTCAGACCTCAGAGCCCACTGCACATTTGCCCTCACCCTCTGTCCTTCTCTCCCTTGACCTGTGCTCTCCCCCAGCCCCGGTGGCACTTGTTAGGGGGCCTGGGATTGTATTTGTTTATGTGGCTGTTTCATCAACTCTGACAGGCTGTGAACTTGAGGCAAGGAACTGAATCCCACTCCTGTTGGTGCCCCCTCCCCTCAGTACCAATCCCACACCTGGCAGACACGTTTCCAATCAATTCTGAGACACATTTTTCACATTTTAACATCTCTGATGAGATGCACCTTACAGTTGATGGCATATCATGGTTTAATTGGCAGTGGTTTTTCTTTCTTACAGAACACAGAAAATAAGAGTATTTAAAATCCATGTTATCTTAAACTTGATTTAAAAAATGACAGTAGGTGTTTGATGTTTATTGAATTGGAAAAAAAATTATTGTGAAGTTCATCCAAATCCACAGCTCCCAAACCTGGCTGATTATCAGAATTACTCTGGGGGGCTGATGGAGGAAGGCTTGTTAAAAAGAGGTCCCTGGGCCCTAGTAAGCTCATCCCCCTGGGAGTGGCAGAGGTAGGGAGATGGGTAGCCAATGGCCCCAGCCCACTTATCTGGAAAATGAGTTCTGTCCCCTCCCAGTTCAGGGTTTCCTCCCAGTAGGACAAGCAAAGCCACATAAATCCACAAATACTTGATTTAATTTTGCTCTTCTCAACCAAGCCAGGAGAGGCAACAGGCAGTTGGCACCAAAAGGTTCGGGGTTGCAAGCTCACAGCTCAGAATGCTCCCATATGACCCCGCAGTCAGCATCCTCCCACAGCCTCCTCCTAGTGCTGCCAGTGCCTCTTACCACTGGGGAGAACTCCTGCTCACCCCGGGTCCACCTGCCATGCTGCCTCTCCCCACGCGGCTCTAAGCCTGCTGATTTTGTGCTTTTTTCTACAAACACATAGTGTTGCTAAGAAATTTCTTATTTCCTAAGAAATAAGAAAATTTCCCAGAATAGTAGGGAGGCAGATTCTAGCTCAGAATGGGAAGCAGAACAAACAACAACTTTCTAGCAGGTGGATCTGTCTGTCTAGAGGTGGAATGGGCAGCCTTGAGCAGGTAGTGAGCCTCCTGTCACAGGTGGTGCAGATGGGAGTAGGATGAGGCTGCTGTAGGAGGCATGCCAGCACAGGACGAGAGCCTGGGCCAGATGACCAGCTGAGCCTAAGGAATCTCGTCACATCATGTTTACCTGGCCACTTCAATGAGGACTTGGTGCAGAAGGAACAGAGTTTCCTTGCTGGTCCTGGGTTTCCTCCTGCTCTGTCATCCAGCTTGGAAGATGCAACCCCCAAAGGCTGGTTCTGCATGTTGCTACCTCTCCTCCCCCTCCCCCTCTCCTGGGTGCACAGTTCTGGGAAGGCTTTTTCTAGTGATATTGTCAGCAGTGACTCTGGGACCACCCTGTGTTTTCTCTGCTCCCAACCCCTCTACCCACAGCTTCAGGACTCTATGTCCAGAGTAGTGAGGTGCTGCATGTCATCACCAACGTGATCCATGCTAATGGGGACAGAGGCATCACTGTGGCCCAGAGCAGCCAGCTCACCCGTGTGGCCAACAACAGCATCTCCTGCAATCACCAGAGTGGGGTCAAGGTGGAGGCCCAGTGCAAAGTGGAGTTCCGAGGCAATGGTATCTATGACAACAGAGGCCATGGCATCATCACCAAGGGTGACAGCACTGTCATTGAAAACGACATCATTGGCAACCGGGGTAGCGGGCTGCAGCTGCTGCCCACGTCCGACACGAAGGTATGTATGTGTGTGTGTGTGATGTGTGTGCCTGTGCAGGGCATGGCCCTAGGAGAGCCCTCGTGCCCTCTCTGCTGAGAAGCAGAACCTTAAACCCTCAGCACTCTGCAAGGGTGCTGCCAAAACCCAGCCTGGGAGATGCAGGGGGACTTCATGCAAGAGGGGACGTGGGAACTGGGCCCTGAAGGATGAACAGGAGGTACTGACAGGAAGCTGGGGCGGGGGTGCCACCCGAGGTATCTTTGTGGTCTTCAGTTCAAGATCAGGGCTATTTTAGCTCTCTTCTCCTAACAGAATAATCTCGCACAGGACCCAGTATGCAGTATGTGCTTAATGGAGAGAAGTCTTGCCTCGGGGCCTTGGCACCCACTGTTCCCTGTATACCCGGAGTAGCCTTCTCTCCCCTTTTCCTACCTACCAAGTCCTACAGCTTGGCTCTCCCTTTCTTCTAGAAGCCCTTTCTGACCCCCCCCGACTGTTTGAGGTGCCCTTTTTTTGTACTTCTAAGGTGCTTATGCCCAGCCTTCACAGGGCACTTCCCACAGTGCTGTGCGTCTGTTCCTTTGCCTGTTTTTCTTCCCCACAGGACCTTGAGCCCCGAGCTCCGTTTTTACGCAAAGCACTGAGCTGGGTGCTAGGGTTTCAGTGTTGAGCCAGACACACCCAGTCCCTGCCCTTGTGAAGTTACAGTCGCAAAGCCTCTTTTCAGCTTTGTGACTTCATGAGTCAGTGACTTCAGCAAGGAGTAAGGAATCCCTTGGCTTTGCATCCGAGCACTGTGGGAGCAGAGGAGTGCTCGCTGTTGCCTCAGTTGGGTCGCCAGTGGCTCACACCCCATTTGCTGGGTCTTTGCACATTGTTCCTTCTTCCTGGAACAACTCTCCTCTGCTCTGTACCTGATAAACTCTTACCGCTTACCCATCACCTCCTCCAGAAAGCCTTTCCTGGTTCTCTCTGGACTGGTCTCGATAGCCTTTCCCTGAGCTCGCATGGCTCAATGCTGACCTACCTAGCATGCTCTTACCCCTCAGTTTTATAACTGGTGATTCACTTACCTGGCTCCCCTACCAGTCTAGGAGTCCCTGAGGTGTGACAAGCTCTGGCTGCCTCTCCCAGGTAATAAAGAACCGGATCCATTCATTCCGGGCCTACGGCATTGCCGTGCAGGGCCGTGCCAAGGCTCTGCTGCAGGAGAACACCGTCTTCCAGGGCAAGACCAACAAGACCATCTTTCAGCAGATTTCAAACAACCAAGAATGCATTATGCAGAACAACAAGTTCTTGGTCTTCAAGAAAAAGTAAGTGCATGGGGTTGCCTAAACCAATCTTCTAGAACCACAGTGAGGTCACTGGGGAAGCCAGGCTCAGAGACTGCAGCTGCCCTTGCTCCCTAGTCCTGCTAGCTTTCGGCTCTGGTCAGGTAAAGGCCTGTGCTTGGGTTTTGTGTCAGGCCTGGGCTGAGGACCTGAGCCTGACTCCCTAGGAGGGAATAAGCTTTAAAGTAGTCAGGGGTATGTGGTTTCAAATCTCACCTCTGCCAGTTACTGGCTGTGTGACCTTGGGCAAGTTACTCAACATCTCTGAGCCTTAGTAAAATCCAGTTAATGTCTGCTTTGTAGCACCAGTTTAAATAGGATCACGTGACCTAGCAGCATATCTGAGGTATCACACAAGTGTTCATTGCTGTGGCCGCTGTTACCCCTTGTTTCTGGTATTTCTGCCTCAGTGTACAGTTGCTTCACACTCACCTTCCGCAAACCCTTGTCCTTCCCTGTTCCTCATTTTGATGACATCACCATCCATTCTGTTCCAGCAGCAAAACCTCTGCCTCTCCTTCTCCCTGACACTGAAGTTCCGTCAGCTACCAGGTTCTCTTGATTCTGCTTCTAAAATGTTCTTGTACCTGGCACCTCCTCTTCCCAACTGCTGCTACCCTTGTTTGGGTCAGCACCCCTCATCCTGGCCCATGGCCCTTGTTTCCATTACTGCTGTTTCAGTTGTTTATGGATGGACTCCGTTCTGGTTGGTTGATACTTTGCCATACTGGTTGCAAAAATAATAATTAGTAATTATTATTGATACCATTGTTGTTGGTATCACTCCTGCACTGTTAATCCTTCTGTCTTGTTGCAGCAGCTTCCTGCCTGGTCCCCCTGCGCTTGGGCTACCCCCGACCTGCAGGCTGTCCTCTGCATCCTGCCAGAGTAATCTTTCTAAATCAGCTCTGGCCACGTCACATGCATGGTCAGAAACCCTGGATGGAGCCTTTTTTTCTATAGTAATGATCTCTACTCTGTTTTTTTATTATACACTTTCTCAGTAACAAATAGTTTTTGAGGAAACCCCCTCAGTATGTATATTTATATAGTCATAAAGTATGATATAGTAGAAATTCTAATATTGTCTTCCCAAATCCCAGCAGATCATATTGTAGACTCCCTGGGGTCCACTTCCTCCTCTGGCTTTGGAGACCCCAGGGTACAGGGTACAGCCCAGACCTGTAGGCCTGGCATTGTCCCCTGTGCACTGTCCGCTCCTAATTTCCTCTCTTTTTATCACTTCTTCTCAGGAGCTCACTCTGCTGCCAAACGCAAATGCTTGCAGATCTTTGAACATAGCCCCAGGCTTTTACTCACCCCACAGTAGCCAGCCTCTGACTCTACCCATACCTTTACAGTCCCACTCGTAATATTATTATCATAAAAATACGTAAAAGCCAATGTTGCTGGCTTAAGCAATTTAGGATTTAATGTGTGTAAGAGGCGATCCCTTGTAACTCAGGACAGGTTCCTTGTAACTTAGGACAGAAAGCCCTAATCAAAACATCACTACCATTTGATTTTCCCCAACCCTTCGTAATCTCCACAAGAGCTCGAAGGACTGGAAATCCACCAACTTCTGTCCCCTATAGAGCTGCACTTTCCAGAATGTCACATAAAAGAAATAACACAGTGTGTAGTCTTTTGAGTCTGGCTTCTTAACACTTAGCCCAGTGTATCCCAGATTCACCTGTGGCATCTGTCATTCATTCTTTTTGTCGCTGAGTGGTGTTCTATTGTATGGACGTACCACACGGTTTATCTGTTCATCAGCTGAAGCATATTTAGGTGGTTTCTAATTTTTTTGTGACTGAATAAAGCTTGCATGACATTTACAGTCATACAGGTGGGGAAAAAAATCGGCTGGGGGAATGAAAGAAAAACAAGCAAGCCACTGGTCTTATCTAGATCCTTGTTTAAAGGTGGGGAAATAGAGGACAAGAGCGAACCTATCCAAGGTTACATGTAGATCTGAAGGTAGAACTAGAATTAGTTGTGCCCATGTTCCACCTCCTTTTGCTATCACGTAACTAGGGAGATGCAACCTATACCCAGATTTAAACAAAGCCAAAGGTAAGTTTGTGCAGGGCATTCAGCAGATGCTCTAGACTCCCAAAGGGTTCACTCTCATTTTGCACCTCCAGGTCTGAAACGTGGTGCCTGGCGAACCCACCAGCACGGCCTCACCTTGAAAACTCTCTCCGAGGCCCCTCTGCTGCCCACAGTGGGCAGAAGGTGACAGCCATGGCAACCAGGATCACAGCCCATGTGGAAGGTGGTTACCACAGCAAACGCAGCATCTTCTGCACCATCCTGTAAGAATGGAGAGCCACGGAGTGGGGCAGCTGGGGGCTGTCCTCAGACTCCGAGAAGGAAGCACATACCCTGCTCTCAGGCTCAGGCCCTGCCCAGCCAAGCTGAGAGGTTGTGGCCTTTGGGATGGAAGAATTAGTGCTTGTGAAGGCTCCTGGTCTCCTTATCACCACCCTGAAAAACAAGCTCCCAAGCCTTCTGGGGACTAAGAACAAGGTACCTTCAAAACTCTTTGGCTCCACAACCCTCAGCAGGAAAGAACTTGGATTTTTTGTTTGTTGATTGGTTGGTTTTTTTGGCCGCGTCATGTGGCTTATGGGATCTTAGTTCCCCGACCAGGGATTGAACCCAGGCCCTCAGCAGTGAAAGTATGGTGTCCTAACCGCTGGACCGCCAGGGAATTCCCTGGAATTATTTTTCAAGGAGAAAAGGGGAACTGAAGTTGGTGGGTTTCTAGTCCCTCGAGGTCTTATAGAGATTATGAAAAGTTGGGGAAATCGATAATGAAAACCTTGGTCAGGGTTTTCTGTTTGAGTTACAGGGAACTGCGTTTTATATACGCCAAACCCAGAATCTTCTCAGGGAAGAACGGATTTACTTCTAAGGGAGAGAAGTGATTCTAGTGAGATGGAAAGAGCCCCAGATTTTCCCATTTCATAGACCTCACTATTGACTCTCCGGGGACACTGCCACACCCACCCTGCTGCCTGGGGAGGCTGGCGGAGTTGGGTTTGGTTTCCTTAAGGACACAGTTCTCTTGGACATGGACCTGTGAGGGAGGAAGGGGCTTGGGATAAGGAGCCCCTCTTGAAAGGCTGCCCCAGGAATGACAGGGAATTGCTGAAAACAGGAAGGGGCGCGTGGAGGCTTCCTTCAAGTGGCTTAGGTGTGCAGGTGCGTGCTGGGCTGGGTGGTGCAGAGATGCACCTGACTGCTCTACCTTCAGGTTGCTCCCAGATTCAGGAGGACATTGGTTCAGCGTTTGCTGCACAGGGAGGATTCGAATCCCACAAGCACACCCAAACCAGCTGCCCCTCCTAGGCGCAAGACTGGCAGAGACCGAGGTGCCTAGGGCCCTCGTCTGTGTCCACATTCTCATGGATGACCACCTGCCTTTACTGACCCTACCAAGGTTTCCCACTCTGTGCCTTGGCTCATGCTTTCCCCTCTTCTGGGTGCACCCTCCTCGCCAGCTACACATGCCTAGGTCCCACCCATTCTTCCAGGCTTGACACTGCCAGCCGGATGGCAGTGCTCTGCCCTCTCTGAGCCTCCTCTGCCCTTTCTCTGCCCCCACAGGGTATATTCTGCCTTGCTTAGGAGTTACCCGGGCCCATCCCTGTCCCACTGACCTGCCTGTAAGCTAGCTCCATTAGGGTCACCACCTGTGTCCCCCGTCCCCAGCCCAGGGGTAGGGTTAGCAGCCTGAGTGAGGAGAGGAAGGCTGGCTCCCAAAGGGCTGTGCTGAACCCAACTGTAAATGTGTTAAAGTTCCAGAGCCAGGCAGGCTCAGACCCACTGCTCTAGGAAGGGGGCCCGACGCAGACCTAGTTCAGCCTGAACAGTCCCCCGCCCACCCGGCCCTTCATGTGGGGCCTCACCAGCCTGGTAGGGTCACTGTCGTGCACCTCACAGATGGCTTCCCAGGCTGGTTCTGCCAGGCCCCCGGTGCTGCTCTCCCAGGTGGAGTAGGTTGGGCTTAGAGGGAGCCAGGAGCACTGGCTACCCCCTGAGGACTTCGGGCACAAGAGCGTGGGCCCCTCCCATCCCCAGCGCTGTCCTTTGCACTTATCTACGGCCCCAATGTGAGTTGCTGTACAAAATGCTGCCGTTTATTATTTTGTAACGAATGACTTTTCTGTGAACCAAGTGCTTATGAAAATCTCAGCAACCAAAATAAAGTTCTCTATTTTAAAGGAGGCACTTTTCGGGGTACTTTCCTTGGTCTGGGTATGTGCTAGGGTTCCTGAGCGCTGGATGTAGGCCTCTCACCACTCTGCACCCCCGAGGCACCACTGCTTCCACTGAAGGAGACAAGAGACCAGGGCCATCTTGTCCAGCCAGCTTGTTCCCACCTGATTCCAAGTTCCAAGGTCTGTGTCCTCATGTGTCAGGGACTGTAGTTGCAGTCCTGCCTGCCCCTTGGGCTTTGTGAAGAGTAACACTGAGGTCCCTGGTGTGGATGACCTGAGATCCATGACCACATTTTTCCCAGCTTCAGTCACTTAGCATCTTACAGTGTTTGCCATATCCACATGTCAGCTGAGGAGAAAGCTAGTACTTAATATTTTTCTTTAAATCCTCTTTTAATTAAAAAGACTTTATTTTTTAGAATTTTTTCTCTTAAGTCTTTTTATTAACAGGTATAGTTGATGTATAATGTATGTTTTAGGTGTACAACACAGTGATACACAATTTTTAAAGGTTATACTCCATTTATAAAATATTGGCTATATTCCCTGTGCTGTACAATATATCCTTGTAGCTTATTTATTTTATACATAGTAGTTTATACCTCTTAATCCCCTACCCTAGCCTTGCCCCTCCCCCCTTCCCCCTCCCACTGGTAACCACTAATTTGTTCTCTACATGAGAGTATGTTGTTCTTTGTTATATTCACTAGTTTATTTTTTAGATTCCACATGTGATATACAGCATTTGCCTTTCTCTGACTTATTTCACTAAGCACGATACCCTCCAAGTGCATCTTTTTTTTTTTAACATCTTTATTGGAGTATAATTGCTTTACAGTGATGTGTTAGTTTCTGCTTTATAACAAAGTGAATCAGCATCCAAGTGCATCCTTGTTGCAAATGGCAAAATTTCATTATCTTTTATGGCTGAGTAGTATTTCAATGTGTGTATATATATATATACCACATCTTTATCCATTCATCTGTTGATGGATACTTAGGTTGTTTCCACATCTTGGCTATTATGAATAATGCTGCTGCAAACATTGGGGTGCGTGTATCTTTTCAAATTAGTGTTTTCATTTTCTTCAGATATATACCCAGGAGTAGAATTGCTGGATCATATGGTAGTTCTATTTTTAGTCTTTTGAGTAAACACCAAACTGTCTTCCATAGTGGCTGCCCCAGTATACATTCCCACCAACAGTGCACAAGGGTACCCTTCTCTCCATGTTCTCACCAACATTTGTTATTTGTGGTGATGATAGCCATTCTGACAGGTGTGAGGTGATATTTCATTGTGGTTTTGATTTGCATTTCTCTGATGACTAGCAATGTTGAGCATCTCTTCATGTGCCTGTTAACTATCTGTATCTTCTTTGGAAAAATGTCTATTTAGGTTTTCTGACCATTTTTTAATCAGGTGGTTTATTTTTTTGATGTTGAGTTGTATGAGCTTTTTATACATTTTGGATATTAACCCCTTATTGGTCATATCACTTGCAAATACTTTCTCACATTCAGTAGGTTGTCTTTTTGTTTTGTCTATGGTTTCCTTTGTTGTGCAAAAGCTTTTAAGTTTAATTGGGTCCCATTTGTTTATTTTTGCTTTTGTTTCCTTTGCCTTAGGAGACAGCTCCAAAAAATATTGCACGATTTATGTCAAAGTGTGTTCTGTGTTTTCTTCTAGGAGTTTCATGGTTTCAGGTCTTAACGTTTAGGTCTTTAATCCATTAGAGTTTTTCTAAAACCATACACACAAAAATGTTCTAATTTCATTCTTTTACATGCAGCTGTCCAGTTTTCCCAGCACCCCTTATTGAAGACTGTCTATAAGTTTTAGATTTATAGAAAAAGTGAGGAGATTGGTGGTAGAGAGTTCCTGTACTACCCTTCCTGCAGAGCTTCCCTGTTATTAACACCTTGCATTAGTATGGTACATTTGTCAAAATTAATGGGCCAGTAGACACATTACTATTAACTAAAGTCCACAGTTTATTCATATTTCCTTAGTCATTACCTAGTGTCCTTTTTCCATTCCAGGACCCTATCCAGGAACTTAACTAAAAAGAAATGTTTACGTTACTTTACTACTATAAATGAAAAGCTAGTGGTTTTAATACACACTAAACTGTTAAAATGAAAATATTCACAGTATCACAAGCAACTAAACCTTTGTTGAAACCAAACATTTGGGGGAAATTTGTTACTGCAGTTTAGCCAAGTCAGCATAACCTCATATATCCTGATACACCCCCATGCCACTAAAATCATCGTATATCCCCTCAGTAGTATATTAAGCACTGACTTGGTGAGGCTATTGCCCCTTTTTTAAGCAGGAATTGAGTTCTTTGTACTTTTTAACTGAAGTATAGTTGAATTACAATTTCTGCTGTACAGCAAAGTGATTCAGTTATACATACACACACATATATATTATATACACACACCTTTGTGGGTTTTTTTTGTTTTTGTTTTTGCAGTACGCGGGCCTCTCACTGTTGTGGCCTCTCCCATTGTGGAGCACAGGCTCAGCGGCCATGGCTCACGGCCCCAGCTGCTCCACGGCATGTGGGATCTTCCCGGACCAGGGCACGAACCCATGTCCCCTGCATCGGTAGGCGGACTCTCAACCACTGCACCACCAGGGAAGCCCTACATTCTTTTTTATATTCTTTTCCATTATGGTTTATCATAGGATACTGCATATAGTTCTCTGTGCTGTATGGTAGGACGTTGTTGTTTATCCATTCCACATATAATAGCTTACACCTGCTAACCCCAACCTCCCACTGTCCCTCCCCCAACCCCCTCCCCCTTGGCAACCACAAGTCTGTTCTCTATGTCCATGAGTCTGTTTCTGTTTTGTAGATAGGTTCATTTTGTCATATTTTAGATTCTACATTATAAGTGATATCATATGGTATTTGTCTTTCTCTAACTTCACTTAGTATGATAATCTCTAGGTCCATCCACGTTGCTGCAAATGGCCATTATTTCGTTCTCTTATGACTGAGTAGTATTCCATTCTATATATGTACCACATCTTCTTTATCCATTCATGTCACTGGACGTTTAGATTGTTTCCATATCT